CGGCGGTGCTGAGAGAGCGTTTGGTCGAGGGGGTGGGAGAGGCTGCGGAGGTGTGGAGAAGGGCGAGGGGGTCGGGGGTGATGAACACGGCGGAGGCTGAGCGGGGAATCTTTCCCCTCCCTCTTTAACCCTTTCTAATCCTTTCCAATCCCCAAATCCATCAATCATCCGTTTTGTCTTTTCTTCTTCCAGCAAAAGGTCCACATAAGGCTTCCAGTCGATTTCCACGCCACCCTTCGGTAGAAATGTTGGACCCACAAGAGAAGGTCTAAGCAGCCACGGTTGAGAGGCAAGAAGGAAGATCTGCAGGTCGTTCTGGGTTCCCCGTTGGGCAAGAAAGGGGATCATTCAGCTGGAAAAGGGGTCAAAAAGGAGCAACCAAAAGACGAGGAGCTTGAATTTTAAAAAAGGAGACTTGAGTGAGGATTGGGAGAGTTTGAAAACGGTAGTGTGGAGAAAGTGGGGTCCTTACAGGCGACCAGCCTCTCTGTCTCCTGAACTTTTGGATTCCAGCATTAAATGCACCTGGGACCAGATCACTTCCTGCCTTCTTTCCTTCCACCTCTTCCTCTTTATGGGATCCTTCAGGTGATGCCAGCAGTTCTGACCAAAGGTGATGAGTCACAGACCAGCTGGAATTCCACTGGCAGCAGATGAGTTGGCAAGCCAAGAGCCGGGGGCTTTTCTTCTCTTTTTCCTTTTGCAGCCCAGATTGGAAAGAGCAACAGCCTTGAGGGGGAAGGCTGGTCACAATGGGGACCTAATGAGATCTCCTGCAATGGCAAATCCCTGACCGTGACGTCATTGGATCCTCATGGGACTCATCCCATTCCAGAAATAGGAGAACTCCTTGGGCTAGTAGCCGCCTGGGTAAGGAGTCCAGGGACTCAGAGTCCTCCCATGGAATTGAATTTTATCCTGGGGATGGAAAAACGGTGGGCAGGTAAGGGAGTCAGTGTTTGCCTGTTGTCTGGGAGAGATTTGTTCTGATCAGTTTCCCAAAGATGTTGCTTTTGATTTCTAGTTCAGAAGAGGCCCAGTTATAAA